TGATATTCTAATTTTTCAAGTTTCACCTGTAATTTCAAATCTGGTTCATTTGTGCTTAGTTTTTCAAGATCGGCTAAGATCAGCCAGCTAGCAGTTCTTAAAATGTTCTGGTAGCCTGTTTCTTTGGCTGGTGAGCCGTCAGGGAGGGCCAAAGGGAGCTACCTCTTGACAGAAGAAACAGTCATTTTGTTTCTGTTGTTCTGCATGGTCAGTGGTAGTTAATGACCTGTGCTTATCACTGAATTGCTCTGTGATCTCAGTGATAGTCTTGTAGGCCTTAACTTTCTGTAGTAGTTTGGGAGAAGTTTTGAAATACAGCTTTTTATATTTTTGTACAGACATGCTATAACGTCTTTGTACTGTAGACCTCTTTGAGAGTCTGGTGAAACTTATGGACCCTTTCTTGATAAAATGTATTTAAATGCATAAAATTAAATACATAGATATAGATTGTATTACAGGGTGTTCTTGGGTTATGACCATTCATTCACCAGGCTAGAAAGCAGGAGTCTGTGAGTTCTAGTCCCACATTAAGCATGGAAGCCAGCTGGGTGACTTTGGGCTAGTCACTGTCTCTCAGCCCAACTCACCTCACAGGGTGGTTGTTGTTGGGAAAATAGGAGGAGGAAGGAGTATTAGGTATGTTCACCGCCTTGAGTTATTTATAAAAATAATAAAGGTGGGATAAAAAAACTTTTAAAAAAAACTGTTCAAAGTTATGACAGCGCTGAACAAATGGTACTTATGACCAGTCCTCAGAGTTCCAGCAGTTGCAGTATCCCTGAGGTCACATAATTGTGATCTGGGTGTTGGCGCCCAGCTCATGATTATGACATTGCAGCAAGCCGCAGTCATGTGATTGTGATTTCTGATGTTCCCTGCCGGCTTCCCACAAGCAAAGTCAGTGGGGAAGCCAGCAGAAAGTCAGAAATCATGATCACGTGAGGTCCTTGCTTAACAACCCATGTGGTCCTCAGGTTAGGATGGCAACTGTGAGTGCTGGAATTGCCTTTACTAAGTGATGGGGTTACATGATGTTGCACTTTACAGCCGCATTGCTTAGTGACAGAATATCCAATCCAATTGCTATTGTAACCTGAGGACTACCTGTACAAATGAAATTAAATGTGTTGGTGATGATGATGATGATGATGATGATGTTTATTTCCTGATTGTTTTTATCTTGACTATTTCTTGTAAGCTGCTCAAAGACTCATTATTTATTTACTAATTAACTACATGTATATGCTGCTCAACTCCCAGCAATTCTGGGCAGTTTACAAATTATTTGTTTATGCATTGTTCAAGTTGGGCAGCCAATTAATTAAATAAATAAAACTCAAATATAGATGTCAGAATATTAAAACAATAACAAATATGTAATTTAGTAATAGGTGCTTCTTTATTAATCCATTAAATCAATAACAAGACAATATGCTTTTTTAGGGTATAATAATTTTAGATACCTAAAATTTATTGAAGTTAAGAAACATTTTTGGAGTCTGCAGGCCATAAATTACTTTGGTGCTTGTATACATTATTGAATGAAAAGCTAAGCTTCAGTTAAAGGTTAGTGAAAATGAAATAGTATTTTTTCCCCTCCGAGTTCATGGGCCCCCTGATATCTGTTCATAGCCCCCAGGGAAGCCTAGGTTAAGAACCCTTGCTATATAGCATTTTGCAGTGTAATAAGACCTGCTGTGAAGTTTTATGGAAGCCAGTTGGGAATATTCTATGCTGCCCCTTGGCTCTCCCACTGGTGCATGATCTTGGATTTTTGGAGCTGTTTCTGAATTTTTCTTTTCATGCTTACGTTCACTCACATAGTTTCACTTTGTTGCAGTATCGAAGCTTCTGTGGCTACTTTTGCTCAAGCCAGGCCACCTGGTATCTACAAAGGTGACTATTTGAAAGAACTCTTCCGTCGTTATGGTGATGCAGCTGATGCACCAGCACCACCTCCTTTACCAGAATGGTGCTTTGAGGAAGATGATGAAGAAGGGGAGGAAGATAACTACAAACTGGGAACTCCAGAATCAGAAGCTTGCTCATCAACTTCCTTTTCTGGCAGAAGGAGAAAAGAACACTTGAAACTGGTAATGATGATCTAAAATTTAATATAGTATGTTCTTGAACTTGTTTTAAGTATGTTGTTGTGATTACTTTTTTTGTGTGTGCCTTCAAGTCAGTTTTGATTCCTGGCGACTGCCTGGACGAGTCCCAGCAGTTTTCTTGGTGTATATGTTAAGGCACTAGATTAGAAACCAGAAAACTGTGAATTCTAGTACTGCCTTAGGCATGAAGCCAGCTGAGTGATCTTGAGCCAATCACTCTTTCTTGGCCCTAGAAAGAAAACATTGGCAAACCACTTCTGGAAATGTTGTCAGTATTAATAGAGTATGTTAAATTTAAGCTAATCAGAACCTGATAAATTACCTACAGTTTCATAAAATTAGCATTCTTGTTCCCCAATTTAGTACATGCTGTACTAAAACCAGAGTTGCTGCTGAAATATGGAATTAAAATAAGAATAACCTCGCTTGTATAGAGCATTGCCAGAATACAGGTAGTGGAATTAGCATGTAAGATGTCTGTGTTGTTTAAGGTACCAAAATTTGGATTAACCACACATTCTCTTCTAGATGCTAGGTAGAGCCTAAAATGGGAGATAGGATGGGATTTCATTTTGATAGAAGGAAAAAAAAGTCAAAAGTTTTGAGCTCTTTGGGTTTCAGCTATAATGTCTTGGAGTGTGGTATTTTTCTAGTGGTGCTAGATAAGTCCCTGATGGGTAAGGCACTTGTAGTAGCGTACTGAATTTAGGGTTCAGGATTGGAAGGCACCTGGTAAAATATTTATTTAGTTAATTACATTTAGAATGCTGCCAGACTCCAAACAACTCTGGGTAACTTCCACTTTAAAAAATAAATAAACATATGATAAAAAGAAAAAGATCATGCACATTCAGAAGAAACAAACACAACATACCAAAGAAAAACTAATAGGAGCTTAACAACCAGCCTACCCACAGGCCTGGGAAAACAGCCAAATTTTCAAAGAGTTTTGGAACATTATAAGGGCATTTCAAAACTTAGGATGTTCTAAATAGCTGTTTTGGTTGTTTGTCCTGCTTTGCATCCCATATTCAATATATTTTTTTTCCTTTTTCCTTTCTTTATCAGCCATAAACAATTCTATTCTAAAAGCCTAATAATAAATAAATAAATAAAGCCCTCACACCTATGATAAACTAATGCAAACTTATATAATATTGTATTGTATTGTATTATATATTATATATATATAATATAGTTGAGGCTTTATTACAAATATTTCTAATATTTACATCTGATTTTCTGCCGTTAACAGGTTGTAATTTGTCCCTTCTTGAATTTTTATTTTAAAGTAGAATATAGACAATGTATACAACTATTAATGAAACACAGTGAATTAAGATAATCTAATCATAACAAGCATTTCCCCTTGAGAACAAACCTTCTCAGAATGTAAGTATTGGCCATGGTATGAAAAATACTTATGTTTAATAAAAAAAGCTAGGAAGCAAGATGGAAGCTAGGGTAAGAATCTTTCTTTTTGACATATTATTATATTACAGATTGCTTTATATCTAAGGGAGTTTTCAAGCTGTTGTCACTGTTTTCTGAAATGGTATACTCCCAAGAAAAAGTAAGTTGGTCCTCAGAGGAAGTTTAACTGGTTTGTCTTAATTTATCATGGGTAAATCTGCATTGGGGCATGCAGCCAGGAAATTTAATGTAAGAAGATACTTAGTAAAAAATATGACTTTCAGTGATGGGTAGTTCTGCTTCACAGGTTCTAAATATTTAACACTGCTAGATATTTAGTTCTTACAATAGCTACCATGACAGTAGGAAACTGCAATGATGGCAAACAAAGCATATTGCACACAGCTATTTGGTTTGAGTGACTTGATGAATAAGGGAGGACAATTTTTTACTTCTCCCCCCTAAAATGCAGTATTTATATTTTCGAGCTGTGATTTTGATTCATTCACTTTGCCTCCAACCTCAGAACAGAAATCAAAAGACACAGTTGGAAAGAAACTACTTGATCGTCCATTAAAAAAAAGGCTAATAGTCCAAATAATCATAATAATTAAAATTGCAGTTCAAAGGTCAAAATATTTGAAAGAACAAAATAGCTTGGTTGATTAATTTAACTCAGTTTTACAGCTTTTCAAGCACTGTCTTTATCCTGGGGAGGGAATAGGAATGCAGTTGCATGCTTATCAAAGTAACAGCTGAGAAACATGTTAACTGAAGGTGAAATCTCATAAGTTATTTTTATTCTGTATACAGTGCATTCAGAAAGTATTCAGACCCCCTTCACTATTTTCAATTTTGTTATCTTGCAGCCTGATACTACAATTGTTCAATTTCATTTTTTTCTCATTAATCTACACTCAGTACCCCATATTGACAAAGTGAAAACAGAATTTTAGAAATGTCTGTAAATTTATTAAAAAGGAAAAACTGAAATATCTCATTGGCATAAATATTCAGACTCTTTACTCGGTACTTTGTTGAAGCACCTTTGGCAGCAATTTCAGCCTCAAGTCTTTTTCG